CTCACCAAGTCACCTAAACTTTCAAAAACGAAAATGGCAAAGAGACGCATCGATATGGGTTTAATCAGCGAGACGCCTGTGACAGTCGGGAGCGCCAGTCAAGAAACGGGTGCAGTATCTGTGCCGGGTTCAGACCCTCCGTCTGAGGCTCTTCATGAAAAATGGAGTCTGGATGTGTGAGACTGTCTCCCCTCACACACCCTCCCACCCCTCCCCTCCCCCAGCCAGTCACCTCCTGATTTTGCTATCAGCCATTAATTCTCATTCACTAAGTCACCTAAAAAATTTGATTAGTTTTTAATATGATTTGTGTTAACTATGGATGTTCTCTTAAAATGTATGGCTTGTGAACTAATGTTTAATTACTTTAACTTCAACGAAGTCTCTTTGAAGAGGGTAATAATAATTTAAAGATCTTAATGACCCCTTGATCTTGTCTTTTTATTGTTTAATTACTTTATTAACTATAAGGAAGATTTACTGGTGTGCTTCCCTAGATGATGTAAATAGTCTAAGTGCCATGTTAGGGGGAGATTACGGAACTCAGGAGTCCGCCCTTGGAGGCTCGGAGAGCGGATAAAGAGAGGTGTATTTACTGGTGTTGAGCCCTGGATGATGTAAGTAGTCCAAGTGCCATGGTAGGGGGACATTACGGAACTCAGGAGTCCGCCATTTGAGGCGTTGTTAACATTAATGCTTTTTGCTTTTGTTTTTGTTACTAAGATACTTTTTAGATACACTTTTGAAGTGAGCAACACTTTACAACTGGTAGAAAGTTAAGTACTTTGTATGGAATTGGGTTTTCTTTTAGAGCTGTTTTCAGTGAGACAATGCAGTTTCTGATAATTTTAAGTTTTCAAGTTTCAAGGCTTTATGGCATATGCCCATTAGCTACAGTGTAGATATGTCAATGAAAAACATAGGTCACAGGCTCCTCCAACAGTGCAACAAATATATATATATACATATATATATATATACATATAGAGCACATAAAACAGATAAAATACTGCAATAGAATGTTTTGATATGACAGATTTGTGCGTAATTCTCTCACAAAGGAACTGTAAGATACACGTTTATGTATGGAAAACTTTATAACTTGGTAAAATATTCATTCATTTGTAATGAATTACTTGACTAACATTACTTTTTAAATATATGTTTTTAGATGCTTTACTTTTGATTTCTTTCATGTTATTTTAACACAACATTACTTTTTTCATATTTTTCAACATACTGTGATATTTGTTTTTTCTCTCCTTTTTCCATTATATTTTTGAATATACAGACACTCAACGCAATAAGTCCTACCCCAATCAGCAAATCATCCAAAACTAAGGACCCCCACTAAGACGAACAGATTTTCTTTAAGACTGTGACTCTTAAAGGCACTTGGGGATTTTAGTAAGACAATCCAGTTTTCTGGAAATAACTTCAATGATTTTTGTTTTTTCTCCTACAAAGATACTTATAGTTACACTTTAATGGATGCAAAACTTTATAACTTGGTAAAATATTCATTAATTTGTAATGAAATGAGTTTCTTAAAGAATCAAACTCTAAATGGAGAGTTTGTGATTTTAACACTGTTTCGATGAAACAATGCGGTTTTGATAACTTGACTTGACTAACATAACTTTTTTTTAAATATATGTTTTTAGATGCTTTACTTTGATTTATTTCATGTTATTTTAACACAACATTACTTTTTTCATATTTTTCAACATACTGTGATATTTGTTTTTCTCTCCTTTTTCCATTATATTTTTGAAAAACTACACAGTGATTTTTATCAAAATACAACATGCAACTAATACATTATACAATATTACGACTTTTTGCGATATTTTCAACACAATATACTTGTACCTTTTTTTGTAGGGCTTCAGGATATTTGGCATGTCATGCATAAAACCGGTGTCATCTTTCCTGAAACTGACGCGCTGTCCGTTTTACAAACAAGTTATCTTTCTGCTTCTTCACCCTCTGAATTGTCCTCCCCGTCCCTCTTCCTTCAGCCATCACAACAACAATCAAGTCAGATCTGTGAAATTAAACACCTCTTCCCAAAGCGTGACTTCCCTATTGAGGGAGTGGGGCAGTAGGGCCTAACCCGATTGGCCTAATATACTAACATGCAGAACATATGGTATGTTTGAAAAAAGACTAACCATCTATCCAGTTCAAGCTGTCTTTAAGATGTGACATCGCGCTCTGAATTTTTTCGTAAAATCGTGACAAACTATTACTTATTCTTAAATCTGACCTCTTGCTGCTTGGTTGGAAATGATAGATGAAAAAGCTACAAAGCTTAAAGAACTTTCTAAATACTCTCAATTCTACAGATGACTCCCCCCACTCAACGCAATAAGTCCACCCCCCACTCAGCAAATCATCTAAAACGAAGGACCCCACTAAGACGACCGTTGAAAACTAGCCAGGGATCTGAGAAAAACCAAGTCTCCCCCCGCAAGTTGCAGCCAGGAACAAACTCCTGGACTACTATCATCACCACCATTGTGGACACCCAAATATTGCAGTACTACTGCTGCTGATGTTACTCCTTGGGCCAAGACGTCTCTGTTTTTGAACATAGTGAAATCGGAGTTGGTTGATATTCTGGAGAGGGTGCTGCATCGGTACAGAGAAGAAATCTGCAATGGATGCCGAGTCAGTCACCCCGGCCAGAGGCAACACGATTGTCTGAATGACATTCCAGAATATTTCTTCAGAAACAAATACAACGCGTTAATGAAAAGATTTTGGCTCGCCGACTTCATTACTGCGATTGACCAGAGTCTTAATGATAAAAACATTTACACGGCTGAATGGAGAATCCAAGGCGCTTCGGAGGCTTTTCTGCACAATCTCAAAAACTGCAGATGCCTCAAGGAGAGACTTGAAAAGATCCATGCCGAGCTGGATGGAGAAGAAGAAGACTAATAACCAGCGGTTGATTGAAGCCAGGGATTTTTTTCGATACTTTGACTTTTTTTTAAAGTAAAATAAAAATGGGTAACTACTATGGAAAACAATCTGTATATATCTATCAGAATGCAGTCAATACCTGTTTAATAAATGTGTTGTTGATGACGATTGAAAACAGAATGAATAGTGATCCCCGTGTAAACAGAACGGCTGAAGTTTGTAAACTAGAAGACATTTTGGATATTGTTCATTCTGGCAGTACTATTCCGGGTCATTGGGGAAACGATTGTAAACGAAACATTTAAAGTGGTACTGGAATCTTCATTTTCCGAAACATTCTGTAACATTACCGAAGAAATGAAACAAACACCAAAAGTGTATCATGTGCTCGCATTGTATGCTCTGTTTGTAGATGTAATGCATCTTTGTGTCAAAAACAGCATACACATGAATACTTTGGCCGAAGTGCAAAAACTCCAATATAATATTTCCCTTCATCTGGGGGATTCTGTGCTGGAGAAGATCCTGGGGATGTTGCAATCAGTATAAATGTATTATTGATTCCTATGGGGTGAAAACAATAAATTGTAAATATGAAATTCTGCAAATAAAAAGTGTTTTTTACATTTAAAAAAAAAAAACTGTTGTCTTCAAATCATAGTATAGTAATTCCTACATATCATTTTAAAAAAGAGTCACAGTGTAGAATGTCCGAACATTTATTTTAAAAGTACTAGTATAGTATGTTAAAAGTATCTTGAAAAAAGTCCAAGTATAGTATGTAGTTAAGAATTATATTATATAGTTTGTCTGCAATGTCAGTAGAGGATCTCTAAAAAAAAAAATGAGAGAAAGTCATAGTATAGTTTGACAAAAAGATCCTGAAAAAAGTCATGACATTGTGTGTTGAAATGGTTTTCAATAAACACATCAGTATTTAAAAAAGTAAAATTGTATCAAGTGCATCAGACAACTCAAATTACTCCATTTGAACCATATTATAAATAAGTAAAGAATGGTCATAGTATATAGCAGGGCTGATATACCGTGTGTATATATGTATATTTATGTTCATTTTGTACATTTCTAAAAATAAAGTTTAATGGAAATACTTAGTAGGCCTATCCTTTCTTCCCTGAATTCATATATAGCAAACCATGATTTGATTTCTCATCAAACAGTAGTATTTTATAACGGGTAAAAATAACTTACTCTTTGTTATGAGAGTGGCTCGTAGGCCACAACGGAAAGACAAGGAGACATACACGAGTTTACAAAACCACGGCACATTTATTGTGGTAAATGCAGAGATAGGTGGTTGAGAGGATCGCAGAGTTAGTCTTCCTGCAGCCGCTTTGGAGAGAGACTGGGGCCGTCGTGTCCGGAGGTGTCCGTGATCGTGCTGATTAGCCTCTTCAGCTCCACCCCATCGTAAGACAAAGGCCCTGGGGCCGTCACACTCTTCTATAACAACAGTTAAAAATATATATGTATATAAAATATACGGCTGTACCGACGCCATGATAAGACTGATGTTACGCTGAGAGCAGCCGGGAAAAGCACTGACATGGGCGCAGCCTCTCTGGTGGTTGACTAATCAGAACGAGTGGCCGAGCTGACCAATCGGAGCACACTAGGCTCACAGGGAGGGGGGGGGCAAGAGCTCCAACGAGTCGTTTAGTGGAGAAAGTAAATACTGCTGAATACACATGCTTGACAGAGATGCTGTATGCGAAACCAATGTGAGTTTGGAAAATTGCACAGTATAAATCTATTTTAGTATACCTCAACAATGTAATTATGATCAGTGGAAATGGCCATGACATGGGCCCTTTAAAGGTACTTTATGAACACTTGTAAGCATACTTGTGTTGAGGATGGAGTAAACATATGGTTGATCATTATTATCCTATGTGTAGGTGTGCAGATGTCCCCAGAGTCCGGCAGAGGCTCCGGCATGTAGGGCTTCTGGTTGTAGAAAGCTCCAGTGAAAAATAATAACTTGAGAAATCTTATGTGCCCCCCACCCCCTACCCCCCGTTACCAACACATGGACCAAGTGATCATCATTCTTTGGGTATAAAGACAGATTTATTATGCAACCAAAATCTGTGACAATATCAAATACAATTATTCAAAGTGAGGATTAGAGAAATAGAGAGATTAAGAATAATAAAAAGACATTGTGTGTCGTCATGGCCTGGCTCTGGGCCATGACTACAACAGACACGATATAAGGAAGATATTCATTATGAGCCATTCAACTAAACTAAAGAGCTACCACCATGGGGGGTGTTAGTCAGTAAGGTCAGTAGTGTGTGTGTGTGTGTGTGTGTGTGTGTGTGTGTGTGTGTGTGTGTGTGTGTGTGTATGTGTGTGTGTGTGTGTGTGTGTGTGTGTGTGTGCCAAACTAAGATGAAGGTAAACCAAAGCATGAATCAGATAGCTGCTCTCCAAACAGATCCTCAGCAGAGAGAGAGACTCAGGCCTTTCACACACACACACACACACACACACACACCAGGAGAGAGTAAAGCAGGGGTCCTCACAGTATTGTGTGCTTGCATTATTTTTGGCGATGAGGCTTCAGTTGCGAGGAGTCAACACAAGACGCTTCCTCAGGGTGTGCCAAATTGCGGGCATCTGCTTTGTTGGTCCACAGCTGGTACCACACTTCAGACAATATCTCAGACCACACTCCGGACCACATCTCACATCACTGTCTTTCCTGGCTACTTCTTTGTTCACGCGGCGGAGTATGACTTCAATTTCTTCATTCCTAAAATAAATATGAGGGGTAGAAAAACATGTTTTCACATGATGGTCACATTAAGTCGAGGGTAAAATACATGTTAACGATTTTATCATCAGATTTAGATCTACAAAATCTTTTGGATATTTCAATAACTATATAATTAATGTTGAGTCTGACATTCACCTCTGACAGCCCTCTTCTAGCTGCTCACAGACAGATTGGATGAACCAGCTCCCCTCCGTTGGGTTTCTCAAAGACTTATAATCTTCAACAGTGGAACAATGAACTAGAAAATCTGCTTCCTGAGGGATGGATGTCGAGTCAGAGCTATCAGCCTGCTGTGTCGAGCAAGAGCCACCAGCCTGATCCTTTGATTCCACCATAGGATGTACCTGGCCCCCCTGGCAGGCCTGGATCAGGAACACTTTGGGCTTGGCAGTGAGGGGAGATTCAGGAGTTGCCATGAAGGTTCTCGTTATTTGTTTGATAGGGAGGGGCTTCCAATCAGTCCCCAATACGACACCCTTGTTTCCGTGACTGAGAAGACAGCAGATGAAGGCATCGCCATGCTGAGGAGCCTCTAGAAGATCGGTGAATCCGCTTCCAGTCCACTCCTGGACCTTGAACTCCTGCAGCTGAGAAAGGCCCCGCTGAGAAGCAAAGCATTTCAGCGCTCGCTCCATCTGGTCCTTGGTTTGGTCTTTACACATCAGCACTCTGAACCCCAGCCAGGTGAACACCTTTCCCAAGCTTTCTGCAGTGAAATAAAACCTAGTTAGGTTTCAACAGGCAACACCGGGATGATAATATACATCTGTCCACTCTGTAACGTACCAGCATCTTTATCGGTTCCATATCTCACGTTTTTTTTCTTTTTACCAACACCAGGAAACATTTCGTTGTTTATGATCAGGCAGAGGCCGGTGGGCTGGCTCTTCAACTCATACAGCTCGTCCTGAAAACAACAGAAACAATTTCACACAAACACAAAATGATGAAACTGGAATGGATTAGGTCTGGGCTATGTGGACACAATCTAATATATTTACACTTTAAGGTGTTTGATGAAGAATAATAGCTATGTGGATATAATTGCTAAATAGTGCTGCAGATCATTACATATATTAATAAATAGTCCAAAAGTGGAAGCAAGTACTCAAAACAAACTCCTTTGAGTTGACTCTTTTGAAAAAGCCTGCTTGCCACTCCAAAGATGGAGGCAATGTTCAAGACGGTCACCAATGACGGAAATGTCCTTTTTTTGCCAGTAAATCACTTTCACTTGCTCAATAATTGAACTTGGTGTCAAATCATACATTTAATAACAACGTAGAAACAAAATTCAGACGTCAGGAATGACTCAGAAGTTGTCTAAGCCATAACATTTAAATAATCTGCCAATAGAAAACTGGTTAGCCAACATGCAGTGCAGCTGTAGGTGGTGCAGGTATGTTGGGGTGTAGGAGTGTAGTACTGTAGAGGTACACTGGGGACATCATGGTGTTGGTAGCTTGCTAACATAGAAGACTCTCATCAGTATCAGTGTGCTTTCTAATACGCCCCACATTGTAACGTTCTGTGTTTAAAGGACAGAACGTAGCTCTGAAGAACTTTCTAAATTGTGAATTTGGCTGTAATTCAAAACCAAAATCACAGAATTTGGTCGAGTGGTGAAAATGTTAAAAATACTGTTTACTTGGATGGAAATGACGGCCATCTCAAAAAAATTTGACTTATTATTTTCAAAATGTAAGTTAATACAGGATAATAAGGATGTTAATTGGGTCTTTTTTACAAAGGCTAACTAAAAACCCTGACGCAAGCATTTTAACATTAAGTGTGCTTTTTAAATATTAGGTTATCTCACCTCCAGTATGTTCTTCAGCTCAGGGTAAGTCTCCTGGATCTCATCAGTTTGCAGGAGGTTCAGGAAGAGTTGGCAGTTCTCCTCTCCTTTCTTCATGATCTTATCCACCAACGCCTCAACGTTCTGTTCGGTTCGCAGAGTTTTGTGATCATGTTGAGTTATCAACTTGTTCTGCTTGGCTTTGTTGAGGATTAGCGTGTGGTCTGCACCCAAAGTGTCCACAATGGATGTCTTATTTCTTCTCAAAATGTCGTAGGCTGTCATGCTGAATCTGACAGGGAGAAAAACAACACGCATAGTAAATATATTGGTCTATTTTTTTTCATCATAATCTGGCACCAAAAATAAAATATCATTTTTTAATTTACTCACGAGTTAAAAGCATCAATAAAAGCAGCAACACCCTTCAGAATGAATGCATATCGCTTTAAAATGTAGTTTAACTCTCTAGATTGAATCCATGCTAACCTGCTATCAGCTAACTTTCAGAACTACTTCCTACGATAATGGCATTAAGTGACGTTGCTAAAGTTAGCCACTTTATCAAAATCGACCACGTGTTTCAGAGCACTGCTATCTCTGTCCTGCCGAGCCACCGGGCTCCATTCAGGCCAGACCGAACAAAACCACACAATGTACCAAACTCCACCCAAATATCTGAGTATTTAAAGAAAACGTGGGTATAATGACAAATAAAGTCTTTGATGTAAGACTAAACTAGTTCACAATAAGCTGTTTGGGTTAGTTCTACAGGATCATATAATGCATGTTTTTCCAATCCACACACAACAATTTGATACATTTCCCGCTCTTATGCGCCCCATCCCCCCCATGGATCACACCTGGCACACGCAGTACATGTTCAGTGTCTATTCTTTGTATACTGCAGTTTTTCATGTATAGAGAGCCACAGTGACGCGTCCTAAAACCTGGAAGTGAGCTTCTTCCGGTTCCCTCGACAAAAGAGCAATGCAATTTCTCCATAGGATTTAGGAAAGAAGCTGGAAATAAGGTCTGTGGTTGAGACACATTTAAATCAAATCAAATCAAATCAAGTTTTATTTATAAAGCACATTTAAAAGTGATTTTTGGTCGAGCCAAAGTGCTGTACATGTAATAAAAAAACATTACTACAATCACAATAAAAGACAATAATTTACAACAGAAATATAAAAAACACAGGGAATAGTCAGGTGTCGTGCTCCGCTCTGACTAGAAGGCCAGAGAGAAGTGAGTTTTTAGTGTTGACCCCCTAGGGTCTGGGCCGACCTCACATGGAGGGGCTGAGTGTAAGAGACGGATCACGTTTTGTTCAGTCGGATAATCTCCACATGTCTACCCTACTTTTATAATTTTATAATCATAAATCTAATCGATAGATTTATGATCGATAGATTTATGATCGAATGTGTCTCAACCACAGACCTTATTTTCCTAAATCCTATGGAGAAATCTCATTGCTTTTTTGTCGAGGAACCCGGAAGAAGCTTACTTCCAGGTTTTAGGGTGCGGCCCTGTGGCACTCTATACCAGTAGTCTGATACAATATGTACAGTTTGAAAGGGTGTTAAATGAAATGTGGTGATGATTCATGGTTTTTGTGTTAATGTAATAGCAGTTAAAACAGGATCGGTCAAATTTGACCGTGAACACCAAAGTAAGGGGAAAACGAAGACAACAGGACCATTAAAGAGCAAGCTTACCTGCAAGTCAAACCTGGACCGGGCTCCTCTGGGGGGTTTGTATCCGAGAATAGGAGCTGTTTTTCGGCTGCAAGAGTGTGTGTCTTGTTCTGGAAATCTTAGACCTAGTCAATACTGTGGAGATATACAATCACAATGATCAATCAATAAAATGGTGGAAACAGAGTTGTCTTTCTGGTTCTTTATTTGAAGCTTCAAATAAGGCACAGGTCTCACGGAGTACAGAGTATTCTGGAAGAGTGCGCACAGGGGCAAGAGTGTGGGTTTTATAGGATCTTGACAGTTCAACAACACTTCGTCACCTGTCACTGTGGCAGGGCTGGATGGAGAGATAAGCTACGCCCGCTTTCTCTGTAGGGGAATGTTTGAGAAAAACATTAATCTTCCATGCCTGAAAACAGCTTAAATAATTTTAAGCTGTTTTCAGGCATGGAAGATTAATGTTTTTCTCTCAAGTTTTCTATTGTCAGATTGGACACATCCCAAATTGCTTGAAGGTGGTTTCAGACCTGCACTGCACACTGTAATAGTACTGGTAGAATATTTAAGCTTGGGTAATAAATACATTTTGAAAAAAAACAATTGAAAGGGCAAAGTATTATATTTATTACAGGTTTCCAATGTACACATTGAAAAAGGGTGAACAACAAGTACATGCTCCTTTAACTGTACGCTGCAGAGATCACCTCACATAACAGAGATAGATTAACATTGTTTCCATATTACAGTTTTTTTCAATGCGAAAACACATTTTTTGAAAGCAGGGCTTATTTTCTCAAAACACTAAACACTAAACACAATTCACAAAACCATACACACAAAGTGCAAAACACCTACTGTAGAATGAAGCACTGCACCCAGAACTACAGAAACACTTACCAAAACCAAACTTTTGCACCAAATGGCACACACTTCATTTATAGTACAAGACATTTTGTAAAACCAACTACACACCATCGTGCTCAAGCACACTCATCTTTTATGGCGTTTGATATAGAGAATTCTGCAAATAAAGATTGTTCAAGTCTCCAAAATATGTGCAGAAACACAAATATACTGTTGTTATACTTTTACTTTTCAAAAAGTGGAAAGTTGAATTGCAAATTGGGTGCAGAGCTGAACATGTGTTTAGAGTTTTGGAGATTTGAGCTGAGGTTTTGCTCTTTCAGTGTCAGTTTAAATAATGATGCTTTGTGTCATTTTAGTGTGTACAACTTGTTTTGATCGTTACACTTACATGTTCTTTATATAGATTTGATTTAAAAGAAACATGTTTAATCAAATAAATATATACACTGTCATTCAGATTGATTAGTACTTCTGTTTCTTTTGAGAGGGGACATGCTGATGACATTTGTCACAATACCAGCTTCCTTTGGGGGCAACTGTTATACCAACACATTCAAAATGAAACCAGGTAGTTTCACAATTTGTGTTATCACATCCTATCATGGGAAGCTTTTCCTCTCCACGACAAAGGCACCATTTGGGTATCAGTGGTTGGGTATTGGTTGGCTGAGTCAGAGTGGCACATAGAGCAGGGTCTGGTATCAGGCAGAGAGGCCTTTTTGGTGCACTAATGGAGACTGGTGTAGTTGCACTGGAAATTCTGGTGAAGAATTGCCCACTTAACTCGAGGAGGATGACCTTTTGAAAGAATTCATGAGCTTTGGGGTATACCTTCTCCCAAAAGTCAATATCTGGGGTTATGCGTTCAAGATGAATCTTTCCATTCACCCACAGAACAAAGTCAGCATATTCAACATCACATAGAAATAACTGGGTCTGCACTTGATAGAAATAGGCATGGGTCTTCTTCAGCCTGTCCTGTCCATCACGTGGTTCCAGACATGTATGGTCTGACGGTGCAGCAACACAGTAGGGGCATTTAATTTCCAAAACACCTACGCCACAGCACTTGCAGGACACAACACCATCTGGAGTAGCACCTAAATATGGAAATATTGGCGATAACACGAGCCCAGAGTCCTGGCAAATGAAACCGTCATGTCGATTCATAATTGTAATGTAATGTTCACGTGCTGATTTCTCGTGATTACATCCCCATTCAGTAGCTGCAGTTTTACATTTTGTGGCTTCTGGGTAACAATTAGCTTTAATCAAGCTAAGCGATGGTTTAGTTGCACTTGTTGAACATGCTGCCTTCATACGAGATGCTGTAATCCGTCCAGCTCTGTATCGATACCAGAGTTTGGATTTGGCCTGTGTTTTTGTGGCCTTCTCAATTACATCCGCCTCCGGCTTGGTGATAGCTACATTGATCCCTTGGCAATGTTCTGTAAGGGCTTTATGGTCCATTTCTAGGCAGTTCTCACTTTTCAAACTAGAAAGCGGTTTAGGAAATGTTGACAAAGTCACTTTTGGGACAAAATCGGCATTGTGTGGAGCTGAGATTGTCAATATTGCACACTTCCTTCCAGTAGATTTCAGTGATACCAGGAAAGACTGTTGCTCAGCATCTGTCGCTTTTGGAATCTCCCTCGAGTGACGTAAAAGTGGTGTTGTTGTTGTTGTTAAATTAGCTGCATCGCCAAGGCTGTCAATTGCTTGGCTTAAACGATTCCTTCGGGTTTTAGCCGAAGTAAAGTCAATGTCAGCAACAGGGGAAGGTGTTACATCCTTCACTGATCCAGGTAGAAGCCAATACGCCTTTTCATGGGTAACAGTCTTGGCATCACGTATCCGTATAGATGTTTCTATGTAGAAAAGGAGAGATGCAACATGGGTACATGTTGATCCCAAACCAGCTTTGCAGTTGCAGTTAGCTGACTGCCCCATCCTTCTTCATCAGTACCCACGGACATGTTGGCGACAGCCCAATACTCTGAGAATGCAATACCTGAAAAATAAAATACAAAAATATTATTGGATTGTTGACTTTTTAGAACCACCAATATTTTGGTCCAACTTTACTTTCAAATACTGATTGTTTACACAACCAGTGGGTGGTCAGCTCTTGTCATATTCCTATGCTAGGTAGCACATAACAGAAGCTGACAACCAAGAATAGGTTTACAACTTTTGTAATTTAAATATATTGCAATATATAATAAAGCTTTATTTATAAAGCCCTTTTCATAAAGCACGTGTAGCTCAAAGTGCTTTACAAAATGGCACACATCACAAGTTAAAAATAAACCACAAGAAATTCCCCTCAGATCAGATGTTAAGACCTTTACAGGTACATGCAGCATAGCAACAACATATAACATTTTAACAGGTTAAGAGACACGAGGAGGTAAAAGGTATGATAATAAAAATAAATAATAAGACACAAGACTAAGTTAATTGATGCAACAATATAAAACCCTATAAAATAAAGTAAACATATAGATATAGGTACAACAAAAATAAAAGCTGGTGTTTAAAAATGTCCACTGAGTTGGCCTCTGATATTTCTTGGTAGCGTAGTGGATAAAAGCAGCCTCACCCATTTTATTTTGGGGGACTTTAGGGATATTTAAAAAGCCAGCTGAAGAGGCCCTCACGAAATATTTACTCACTTTTCCAGCTATTACAGCCACATCTCCTTGATATGCAACGCAAACGTCGCGGATCCACCCGGATGTGAACTGGTTATGTGCCTTGAGTCCTTTGTACGCTTTCATTTCCTCCATGGTGTACAATGGAATAGGCGAAAAAACCAGGTAGTTCACGATATCACAGTAGGAAGGTGAAAGCCATGAATTTATATCAGTGCTGTAATCCTTAACGGGAATCAAATAAGGGTCCACCGAACCAATCAACGCACATTTTTCTCTGTAAACGGTCTTATCCTCCGGGTTTAGTGATTCGTAGTAGCCTTTCATTTTCGCCATTTTTGAACGCTCCCGCCAGTAGAGTGGTACTCCAAAATGTCTGACGCAAACTCCCGTGACGTCATTAGGAAGCCTCTATTATCCCACTTAACGCTTAACACTTGTCTATTTCGTTTTAACCTTTATATATACGGTCTATGGTTTTAACTTGGAGGCTACGATTAGCATCGTTAGCACCGATGTAGCTACCACACGCTTACACGCTAACACATTCATTATGTAGCTGATTAAAATCATAAACACATAAATAAAGTACTCGAATTTCACTTACCGCCAAACCGCATTCATGCACCGTCTGTTTTAACCGCAGAGCGAGTCACAATAGTCCGATATATAAGCATGAAGACCAAACAAACACGGCCGGGGTCAAGTTGTGTTCCCTGGATGAACTGAGCAGGCAGAGTCCCTGTAGCTTCACGGAGCAGCTAGCAGAGAGACAAGAAGCTAACAGCAGCAGTCACCTGACAGAGCTGTCACTCAATGTGACCACGCCCTAATTTATGCAAAAACTTTAAGACCTAATATAAATAAAAGGGTCGCGTTAGAAAACAATTCACTCACAGATTCATAATCATGAAGGTGGAATCTAACTATATCTATAATAATATTTATTGGATCCAGGGGTAGAAACATGTTTTTTTAGGCTGTGAAATTGGGCATTTTAACATGGGGGTCTATGGAAATTGCTCCTTTCTGCAGTCAGCGCCTATCGGCCAATATATGAACTGCAGTTTGTGGCACTTCCGTATTGGCGTCCCGGCTCTTCCCCAGAGTTTGCCGCTTGGTACACTACACATGTATAAATAATTAATGAATTAGTCCAGGTGATGTGTTTGATGACTAAAGATATATCAGTTCATAATCAATATTAGTTGTTGTCATACCCTGGGTCTCCACTATCAGCTGCAACAAGAAAGGACATCAAATACCACAAACATAAAAATATGAATTCAAAGATTATTGTTATTTCTTTAAAAAAATCTATTGTTAATTTGTAACAGAGTAAGCATATTGTGCCTCCTATGTACAAGGTTAATTGAAAAGTGACGATGATATGTCCCAATGCGTCTCAATGTACATGTTACTCCAGCTGCCTATCAGTTTACTCCACTCAAATGGCGCAAAACTCGCGTTCCATGGACAGACGTGTAAAACACTCAAATTACAATAGATGGAGCTCTAGACTAATTTATAAAATTTGTAAAAAAAATTGTTAACACTCTGGGTGTGTGAGACGAGTGAACCAAAACGTAAAACCTCCGCAATTAAAACAGTTTAATCGAGTTTGAGCACTAATATACCCATGTTTTGAACACTTTAGCGGGGTAAATGTGTTATCTTTTCACCCTGGTCCTGAATTAAAACAGTTCCCCCGACTTTAAACACTAATGTGCCCATGATTCAGACACTTATTC